AAGTGATCATTTAGTATTTTTCTCCCCTTGTTACTGTTCGTCGATATTGTGTTGTTGAATTGTTGTGCTGTACTCTTGTTGGTGTGATTGTTCTTGAGTGCCTTTTTTATCAAGGTTGATAATGGACAATAAAAGGTCATATACGACCATTTTAATTATGAATGCAGTGAGTTTAAATAAAATGAATAGTTTTATGTCGAGTTCTGTCAACGACATTAATTTGGAGGTTGCTAAGTAAGAATTATTAGGGAAACTTAAAAAAAGTGACGACGAGATTTTGCAGATCGAACTAGTCGCCAAATCACAGGACTGTACTTTGTGGCGCCTTCATTGAAGGATAAGGTTGACAGCGTCTCGATTTGGTGAAGTTTGTAGAAGAAGGCAGACAACAAGCTGTAAAGTTCTAGTAATCTCCATCATATACCCAACAGAGTCTTCTAGTAAGGCAATAAAAAAGGCAATACAAAAATCATTGGACACGGCAGTTCAATCTTGTGGTTTGTTTATTGATCGCACAAATCCATTTCTGGCAGCATCGCGTCCATCTACCTATTACAGTAGACAAGAAATGTACTTAATCCAGGTATAAGCCTACCTGTTTATTGCTTTGCAAAAACTACCTAAATGTTTCCTCTTATTTTGACCACATGACCCTTGTAAACCTAATTGTGTTTATTGACATGAATAAACGAATTTGAATTTGAGTTCCTGAATTTATTTTACTTAAGATATCAAATTATTTAAATACATTTTTTCTTAGTCGGAACGCACCGTCGCGTCGCTTGGACTGGCAGGACGAAACAGTAGACGAATTTCGCCCAAAAACCGATTTTCACTTCACAGCTTACGTTTCATTTTTTCTTATTTCCAAATTGAACTCTTGCAGCGTGCTAAAAACAAAGTCCACAGGGTGCTAACAATCCACTTTTTCGATTTTATCCACTAGGATCTTTTTAAAATATCAAGAAGTTGATCACAAATAGTTAAGCATTTCAACCCACCATAATTCTTGCACAAACTCAAAATTTTCAAAAACTTCTGATAGCACCTTGGGCAATTATGTCCTACTTATTTCCAGAAAAGCCTCACAAGCTGCAGAACACAAATTGAAGGTGACGGCGAAATGGGTACATTTCACAGGTCATGAAATTCAAATGAAAACGCAGGTATAAAATCTACCAAATTATCGTTCTCAAAAACATATTTCCTTGGCATATCGATAATTTTAAAGGTCCACGCTAAATTCCCCTGTACTTGACTGGAGTGTTATCGAATTCATTCTTCCCTACTGTCGTCGGATTTTCGTTACTTAAATTTCCTGTAATCACTCTGACCAGAAGCTTCTTAATAATAAAACGTGTTTCACTGATATCAAAGATGCAACATTTAGAATCATCTTCCCCCAACCCTCACTTTTTAAGCAGTACATTTTTTTTATGTCAATGATAAGGAACCCCTGTAACATCAAAAACGGAGTTTCAGCTATTGCTACTTTTTCTTTTTTGCCTATAGCACCCTTGCCATTGGACTAAAACTACAAAGCTTTGGCATACTAGTAACCCCGTGTGGAAATTTCATAAAAATCCGAGCAGTAATTTCCAAGTTGATGATAAGTGATATAGTTTTTCGTGATGTAGATGTCATGTGACTTAAAAAACATCTCACTGGCATGGGAAGTAAAACGGCTTTAAAATCGAGGAGTATCAGCGATCGCGATTATGAGTTCCTATTTGCAGAACGACTTATCTATGCGATACTGTATAATTATCTGAATACGTCCTTTCTTAGTCCTTACATTGCGCCGCAACGCCTGGGTTGGCAGCACGAAACAGTAGACAAAATTCGTCCAAAATACGATTTGTAGAGGTTTGCGCGCTTCAAAATTGAAGCTTTATTTTTTGATATTTTCGAATGAAATTTTCACAGAAAACAAAACCCCACAGGGTGCTATAGAGCCACTTTTCCGTTTTTTTCACTAGATTCTTTTTAAAAAAATCGCGAAGTTGAACAGAAAAAGTGCGCACTTCAACCCATCATAAAACTTGTGCAAAAACAAAATTTGAAAAACTGCTCCTATAGTACCCTGGGCAATTATCCTCTGAACATACTGTATGAATTTTATTCAAAAATATTGAAAAATGGAGTGTCAGTTTCGGAGCAGCTGAACCCTTGTAAATGGCTTGAAACTCACTGCGTCGGAGCCACCTTAAATGCTGCCATTATTATATCATATTACGGACTATTTAAAAAAAATAAGTTACGGTATAGCTGCTTGGGGCAATGCTTAGCGCTCAAACTTACAAAGGGTTTTTATAATTCAGAAGGCTGCAGTATGGAGCATTGTCAAAGCCAAACACCACCCTTGTAGGTGTACCTTTAGTGGTACACGTTATGGGTCTACTAATCAGTCGCCGTGCGCTGCGCGGATTTGAATCCCGTCCCATGATAATTTTTCTCTTGGCTATGGATGTTGTGATTGACTGTAGGTGGTAGACAGTTTCTGACTGTCGAAGGTGGAGGTACCATCCGCTGGATCTGCAAGGCGGGACAGAATGTGTGCATGTTGCATGCACACGTGTTCCCTTGTTCCTGAGTCCGTGCGACATCCCTCCTTTTTCCCTGTGTTTCCCTATAGGCCCATGGTACCCTTGGGTGCTTAGGCCTTAGTGGTGGTTCGAGAATAAAAAAAGGAGATTGTATGTCTCAAAATTTTATACCTTAATCATTTATCACCATCAGTTGATTTGGATCAAACAAAATAAGGATAAATACGATCTACAGTGAAGAATAATTGATATTTACGGTAGACCTGATTTGATTAATACAACCCCCTTATGAAAACATTTTGCAGAATAGAATTTCTTTTATTTTCTCTCCAGCTAGAAAATGATTATTGTGCACGCTAGTTACATGTTTTGATTAAGCTTATATTCCTTTCTATTACGTAGACCAGGGCAATCGAAGACAACATATTGTGCAGTTGGTTTGGTACATTCAATGCGACTTATGTAACTTCTCCTCGTAGTTGCTTCTTATTCAATTTTAACGTTGCGCTAGCTACATTTGAAAACCATTTTCCATGTTAATCAGCTATTCTGTCTTAAAACTGTTTCACTCAATCATGTCTACTTGAACATTTTAAAGGATAAAGACATCTTTACACGAATCTATCATACATCACATTGTATCTATTTCACGAAGAATAAATAAAAGTTGGTATGCCTAAATACATGCTCCTAGATAGCTTTTTAAATCGATGTAATTACTCTGGATAGGATTACAACGTTGCGATAGCGATATTTTGTTGAATATCCTCTGAGCAGTATTAGGAAGATTATTGTCGTAGTTTATCTGAGAAAATAAAGGTATATATTTCATATCCTATGAACAGTCGATTATCATTTTTTGTTAAGCAGGATAACTTTGCTCATCCACCACATACTCGTAAGCATCAAATCGACAGTCAGGGGAGTACTTAGTACTCACCATGACACCAGCATTGACGTACTATGCTAAAGTTGCATAAACTAGATAAACTAGTAAAATAGGATGTGTTCTTCATCTCTGCGACAATAGCCACCCGTATACAACGTTGCTTCATTTCTATTAGCAATTATCAGAACGGTGTAGGCTTTAGTCAGGCTAGTCAAGCGAATGTGGGTCTACTGAAAAAGTACTCAGTGTGAGAAGGTGTTGTTAGTACTCATAGGTGGCAGTATCACGCTTACCCCAGTATAGGGCAAGCAGAATTACTTTTTCTAATATTTGTCAGATGAGTGGATTTTACGCGAACGCAGCACAGGTTCTACCACAGAGAGCACCAAGGTAACGCGAGCTGTCTATAATACGAGTACGCACTACCTTCAGCCAGAAGCAGCAACGGATCCAGCGGTACAGGGCCGGATTGTGTTTTCAGCGATGTTAGTTAGCTGCGTTCACATATTCATCGTTCAAGTGTTTGATTACATTATGAGTCAAACAGGTTCTGTATGTGAATGACTGTTTTGAGTCAGAATAACTACGCCGAAAATATACAGTTATACTTCAAAGGCACTGCTTTGTCACAGTACGAAATCCTAGGAATGATTACACTGGGAGGTGAGAGCTAAGTTTTTTTTCTTGGAAGGTTGATATTTGATGTTTAGGAATAATCAATTTTCTTTAAAATGAAAAGGGAGGAGTTGTGACGATAGAAATTATAAATGAAGATCCAAATACGGCACAGGGTTGGTTTTGAGTCAGACCAACTTCTCCGGAAAAGGCTACGAGCTCCTCTACCGATATAGTTCGGTAGCTGCTGCTTGTATTCTAATACCATTTTGATACAAACGCACTGCTCTGTCAATGATACCTTAAATGCTTTCACCAATAAAGGCGCAGGAACAAGTAAAAAGGAAAATCTGAGAGCGTCAGCAAAATTAATATTTTGAATGTTTCCGGAGTTGCTGATAATTTTTTCTAGTACAATGGTTGCATATATCGCTAACGATGCTTAGAATTTCAAATGTAGCTAAAATGTCTCTGAGCCGCATTTGACCAATTTGAGAGTAAAGAGCCTTCCAGGACTCGATTGTATTAACAGTAATTTATGAGAAGACTGTGAATCTAAGTATAGATACTAATGTGTGATGAGTACTGAATAAAATAAGAGTAGGTACTAATGAGACACTTGAGATTGCATGGTAAGTACCAGTCGGTTGATTCTAGGTACTATTTTTGCCAGAGCTATCATCAGGTCTCTATCGACATCAAGACGATTTCGTTGTTTAGTTTTAATTAAAACTAGAGCAGAAAAGGCTGTCTCACATAAGTAAGTTGAAGAAGTTTCGAATTAACAGGCAACCTTTTGATGCAAAATTTCTCCAATGTTAAAACATGGATTAGGGACCTCGGTTGGCCGCGTGGGTCAGAGTGTCGTGCTACTGATCAGCCGGCCGGCCGGGCCGCGAGTTCGAATCTCGCCTTCGCCATGGATGTTGTGTGTTTGTTTTAGGCAGCAGCGGTCTCCTGATCAGTCGCCGTGCGCTGTGCGGGTTCGAGTCCCGTCCCAGGAGAAATCTTTCTCTTGGCTATGGATGTTGTGATTGTCCGTAGGTGGTAGATGGTCTCTGACGGTCGAACGCGGAGGTACCACCCGGCGGTTCTCGTAGGCGGAGCCAGTATGTGTGCATGTTGCATGCACACGTGTTCCCTCGCCAGAGTCCGTGTGGCGTCCCCCCTTTTCCCATGTATCCCCCTATAGCCCCACGGTACCCAATAAGTGCTTAGGCCTTAGGCCTTCGTGGTAGTTGGAGTATAAAAAAAAAAAAAAATGGAAGTCATCTTTCATGGACGAATCAGCCTTCATTTTTAGAAATTCTTCCTGAACTTCTTCTGGTAATTGTGACACATGGACAACAATTGGATTTCTTGTCATGTGCCATATTTGTGACTCTGAATTGATGTCTCGATAGTATCGGCGAAATTCGTCTTCCAGCGCTTGCTTTGCGTCCAGTATGTTATTTTTAATTTCTTCGAACAGCCGAGAAAAACATATAACATTTTCAGAAGACACTTTTTGATTCCAAAGTTGAAGCTTTGATATGAACTCCTGAATATAATCATAATTGCTTATTATAGTGTTGTTTCTGCCCTGAAGTTTCAAGTTTAGCTCATTCAAGGAGTCAAATATGTCAGTTGAATAAGCCAACCTTCATTGAAATGTGTCATCTTTGAACATTGTCAAGAAATCGTGTTTTTCTTTGAACTCAAGAAAAAGAATTACCTCTTCTTTCAATTCATAAAGGCGAACCAACAAGTCGCCTTTGGACAGCCAGCGTACTTATGTATGGAACAGAAGAATTTTGTGGCCAGAATCGAGATTCAGATTCTCGCAAGGTAAAGTAAATTACCGACTGTTTAAAGCACTGCTCTTGATGTAGTTTACAATCCTTATAGTCGAGTCCAAAGTCTGGCGTAACTTTTGTGCCAATTTTTTTGAAGCCAAGGCTTGCCGATTAATAACACAATGTGTACTAAGCATTGCGGGATTTTGTCCTTGAGCTTTTTAGCTAAGCTCGATCGTACATCTATGATTGCAGGCGCGCCATCTGTGCAAAGTCCAATGAGTCTTTTCCAATCCAAATAATTTCTTCAACAAAATTTGATATTGAATTAAATATATCTTTAGATGTAGTACCTGCTGTCAAAGATTGGGAGTACAAAATCTCTTCTTGAATGATATCTCCGCCGATTCATCGCAACTAATGGTAAAAAATGGCGATAATTTTACTTTGTTAATTATTTGTGAGAATTTTTCGCAAGTTTGTGGGAATGAATATCACAGATGCTCATCCGCGTCTGGTAGGTACACACTTGTTTTCTAAGTGGTGAATGTTAAGCGAAGCGCGGCGGGAGTGCGCGCGGATTTCATGTTGTGACTTGTCGAAACTTGAATAAACTGCGATTGACGACGCCGGGTTTTGAAACAGCGGTTGACAGAATAAGTGAATATGATATTTAATTTCGAATTTTATGCGTGTAAATTAAACATTACATTGTAATGTTATTTGTTAGTGCCGTTTGTTTATTTTTTTTGTTTTTTCTTTCTATAATGCAAACGCTTTCCGCCCACCTTGACATCTCTCTATGCTCTCCTTGGGAGACGCGCCCCCTTGGTTGGGAACTCCTGCTTTAAGGCCTTTTGAATTGCGTCCTCAGAATAGTTGGATTGATGTCGCTTAAGTTTTTTCATTGGTTACATTTGAAAGTAACATTACATACACGAGGTAGGTAGGTCTTAATTTCTCATATTTTCTTACGTGCCAACAAATGGCGTGCCTGGGATTTTGATGTACCATTAATTGGCACTTGAATAGCTTATGTCCTAATAGTTTTGGCACAAAACATTTATCGGATTTTTTTTTAATGAGGAAATGTATTTAATCACTAACTGGTTATCATAAATTATAACTCAATAGGTACTTAACTAAGCTATACAATCGAATTATGTGGAGTGGCCCATTCTGCTCTACCAGATGCAACCTTTTTCGAATGTCTCTCATGAGGTCCTGGACGGAATTCAGGTCAATTTCTCTCAGTTTATCGTAAATTCGCCATCTTAATTGTTCGCCTAGGGCTTCCCAGCCTTCATGATGAACCTTCCTAGACAGTAAAGCCCAAAAAATCCTATATTGGGCGAGCCGGCGGCAAGTTTGTAAGGTTACAGTTTTGTTGTGTTTTGGAAAGACATTTATTGATATATGTCTGACTATTCGAAGCTTCACCCTCACTCTTTCAACAAAAGGTTGGGATACACCCCTGTTAGAAATTGCGCACCAGACAAGGATTTTATTTGCAAATTTCGCTTTATGTTTGTATCTAACATTGTCAGGGTATTCTTCTACGTTGTCCGTATAAAATCCGTAATTTCCCTTCATTCAGACTTGCTAAAAGTGAAATACTTTTCGTCATCTAAAATAATGATTTTGCCGTGGGAAAGGTGTACCCGCCTCAGTTGATGACAGCATCTTGGTATACGAAGGAGTTGCGCTTGAGAGTATTTGGGGTACTTAAATCTCTTGATATTCAAGACCATTCCTTCTCAATTCCAACGGTATCGTACTCTTAGAAGATCTATACTAAGTGACATATAAATCCGAACACCCAGTTTAAATGGTTTTATTTTAATAAAAGTTGGTGAATGTATTTATCTTACTGTAAATAACAAGTGAAAAAATTTTCAGCCTTATCAGTTGGACATTCCGGTTTTTATACTGCTTTTTTTTAATTCACTAACGCTCTAAAAATGAATATTTCAGCCGCAGTAAAGAATCAACGTTCGCGGATTTTGGTTCTTGACATCCTTTACGATCGGTTACGATGCCTAGAGTACGGAGACCTGCACGATTTCGTCAACTTAGTGAGTTTGATAGGGGCCGTATAGTGGGACTTCGGGAAGCTGGACTTTCTTTTCGGGCAATTGCAGTTAGAGTGCAAAGAAGTGTAGACACTGTGGTTAGGTGTTGTCAGGCATGGCTTCGAGAAGGCCGTACGCAAAGAGCAAGGGGCACTGGACGCCGCCGTAGAACAACAGACCGTGAAGATCGCCGCCTAAGATTATTGGCCTTAAGGGACCGTTTCTCCACTACCAGGTCCATTGCAAATGAATGGTTTGCAGAACACGGAAGACCTATTGGCATGCGAAGTGTCTACCGACGAATGAGAAGTTTTGGCTTGTTTTCATACCGGCCACACTGGGTCCTCCCTTTAACTCGAGAACACCGACGTAATCGCCTTGAGTGGTGCAGACAACGGTCACTCTGGGATCAGGAATGGAACAGTATTGTCTTTAGTGGCGAGTCTAGATTTTGTTTAGGCATGCACGATGGTCGTGCCAGGGTTAGAAGGCGACGTGGTAAAAGGAGGAATCCACAGTTTTTTGTTGAAAGACATGTTCATCACACTGTTGGAGTTATGGTCTGGGGTGCTATAGCTTATGGTTCCAGGTCACCTTTAATCTTCATCAGAGGTAACATGAACGCGCAGCGTTATATCCACGAAGTTCTAGAACCCCATCTTTTACCCTATCTTGACACCCTGGCAGATCCAACTTTCCAACAAGATAATGCCCGACCACATGTTGCAAGAGTCACAATAGACTTCTTTCAACATAATGATGTCACATTGTTACCATGGCCACCAATATCTCCCGACTTATCCCCAATTGAGCACGTGTGGGATATGATGGGTAGGAGATTGCTCAATTTGCAACGTCCTCCTCAGACTCTAGAAGCACTTCGAGAGGAGTTGGTGGTTGCCTGGAATGAGATACCACAGGAGGACATTGACCACCTGATCAGAAGCATGCCTAGGCGCGTTGGAGAATGCGTAGCACATCAGGGTGCATCAACACATTATTAAACGTCAAAGGGCTTTAAAGCAGTGCAATCATTTTGAAATTTTTATCATTTACTTGTTATGCTTCATTAAGTACTTATACAAAATCTTATTAAAATAAAACCATTTAAACTGGGTGTTCGGATTTATATGTCACTTAGTATATATTGACGAGACAGTCTCCTTGTTGACATTCCAACCTGACTTTTTGCTCTTCTCGCCAATCTCTCTGACCTCTGTGCAGTAAATGCACGTGGTCTTTCACTTTTTTGGGAGATTCAGACATGGTATTCCCTGCTCTCACTCCGCTTTTGTTTGATAAATGGTTCTGCGTCAATGAATTTTGAGCCAAAACCTTCAGGACATACGTGATATTATATTCTAAAGTAAGACAAATAGTATTTGGGTTCAGAACTGGTAGTTGTAAGTTTCTTGAATTGTTGTCCGTATTTGACAATCTGAATAAACTCGTAGTATTTGCAAAAGTGCCGATGCCAGTGTTTTAAACAGATGTAAGGTTCGCTATTGCAAGGTGCGAGACCACAACCTTGCATCTAAACTGAATATTGTACATCTTTCATGACCGAGTTCATCATTAATGGATATTCTGTTAACTAGTAACTGTGATTTTATTTATTTTTGTTAATTGAAGAGGTAACAACAACAAAAATTTGAAAAGTGTCACCATTAGGGACGCTCATTTTTTTTGGGTACCATTTGTTGGCACAGCGGTTCCAATAAATACCTTAGGGTAGATTCCGTTATTCTCCACCTATAGGGTAACAGCCGTTAAATACAGCGAATGAGCTTCAAGTTCCAATCAAAAAATTTTAGCAACCAATAGCTACGAAATGTTGAAAACAAAATACTGTCAAAGTATGAGATGACATCTTGTCATTGAAACATCATCAGCTTATTGAATATTAAGAAATTTCATATAATTCAGTCAAAATTTAAAGAAATGTTTGATTTTTGAATAAAATTCATGATTTAATTACTATTGTTGATTTTTGACCCACAACTTAATTGTGTTACAGAACAGAACCATGACGTCCGACATTGAAATGTGTACGAAATAGACGCTGTGTAATGATCACCGAGTCGTGATTTTTAAAATACGTCTCGACAACAAATGCGCGATGTTCACATGTCCACAGCTCCATGACTACTGAAATGGCATCTTCTACCGATGTCTTGCCCACTGTAACCGATGTTCTACGTCAAAAAACAGCTCCGTACTATCCATTCTGAAAACGTCAGGTTCCTTTGGCGGACCCTGTATTTAACATTGACACAATACTGGTCGAATAGCAATAAGATCATATAGTGAGTAAATCAAAATATGCATAAGACAGGCCTCATGCGTTCTACAAATTACTTTACCCCCGCCGGTCGCGACTCAATTCTTGTACACTAAGTTATAGCCTTATATTTATTATGGATATACAGGGTGACTTCGAAGTTGAGTCATTTATTTTAACAGTGA